ATTTGGTCGTTGTTGGGAGGGGGGGGAGGGTCGTATGCAGCTTTGAGAGAAATTTGCCGCGTTGGGAAAAATTTTTCCTGGTTGTTGACTTTTCGCGTGATTTTTCCTGTTTCATGTGTACTATATATCCCTGCTCGACAGCAATATCAATGCACATCGTTGTTGGGGAATCCCCAATAGGGGGTCGTATTTGGGCCGGGAAAGATTTATTTTGATAGTTGATTTTTCTCGCTTCATGGACGTTGTAAAGGGGGGGGGTCGTACTTGGTCATTTTTGGGAGGGGGGTCGTATTTACGTTTTGGCGTTGTAGGAGTGGTGGTTGACTTTTGGTGATTTTCCTGTTTCATGCGTACTATATGCCCCCCCCCCCCCCCCGCCCCCGCCCCGCTCGACAGCAAAATTTTTGGGAATCGGTAGAAGGGTGGTGGGTGGGTCGTATTGTCTCGCGCGACTTTTCCTGTTTCACATGTGCTATTTACCCCCTCCCCCCGCTCAACGGCTCGATTAGGAGGACAGAGGGCTGGGGGGGGGTCGTACCAACTCCCAAAAAAAAGGGGGGGGGGGTCGTACAGACTCGACTAAAATCCCCAACCAATGATGTGCCCTGAGCAGTATGTTTGGGAAAACTAGGCGAATCTTCGGGAATTTTAGGAAGAAGTGGTAGGAGTCAGGGAAGTTCAAGAAATCTTCCCGTTTCACATTGGCTACGTACACCCCTCCCCCTCGACGAAAAATTCCTCGGTAAAGAAATGGAAAATGTGGGAAATCGGTAGGTAGGTTTCGGGGAAGGGGGGGGGGAGTCGTACCGACACCACCATTTCACACATCACGATGCTGTACTCTGGTTGGCAATGGGCTCCTCGTTGTGATTAGTTTTCATTCCTGTAAAGGAATGAAGGGGCATTTTCCTTGACCTTTCAAATAAGGAATCATCGTTGTAAGGGGCAATTGCATCAGGACCTTTTTGACTTAAAAGCAATGTGTCACGATAAATTAGAATTAGTACCCTAGCAGGACAGTATCTGGCCATGAGCAGGCGCTGTGGCACCTTTCCCAAGGAAGGTACCCTTATAGCGCCCTATCAAGTGCAGCATCCTGACGCAGATGCTGACCGCGCCGCCAGCCCACAAATGTCCGACCGATGTTGATGTTCGTATCGCTTCATTTGCAAAGTACAATAGGAAGCGAACGGACTTGATATGAAGCGGCTGCGGTGCTGCATAGATATATGACGCATACATGCAACCGCATCGACCGTAGTGGTTATTGGCGCGATGCCAACAGGGAACTCGTCCAAAATTGCTTTCTGGGACGTGTGAAACAAAGGTTTTTTTTGCACATTTGGGCCGTTTTACTTCGCTTTTTCGCCATTTTCCATTATATGGCACCCCTGTTACCATTGAACGAGACACAATTCCCTGTGCCTTAAAAATGCGCCATAGTTTCATGTTTTTTTTTACTTCTTCTCCATAGCGTAGGTCGCAGTCCGCGCCATCGCATGAGACAGGCGCCACTGTATGTAGAAGGTCGATGCTTCTCTATCTCCGCCCTTACCATAAGCGTGGACTGTGCCTTACTCTGCTCTTGTTCGGCGTAGCCACTTCTTCCTATTCAAGGCATCTTTTGCCGTGGTTTTGACGTAGTTTCACGCTGCTGGCTTGCTTAGGCAGAAAAAAAATCGTTATAGTCAAACGTGATTATCAAGGAAAGGTTCAGAGAATTGTTTCTTTGATTAATATTTCCATTAATGTCACTGCGATACCAAGGAAGTCGAGTAAGTGGCCCATTCTTCCATAGAAAAGTTGATCAGTACCACTGTTCATGAGATCCTATAAAGGATAAAGGATAAAGTCTTCGCCGTTGATCAATCCCTTTGTGGGATGCGGCACGCATTCTACTTCCATTCAGAATCGTAGTGGCTTATTGAATGCGATGTGGCCTATACAATGACTTGCGGTGGCCAGCCGATGTACAAGTCAGTGTTTTATCCTCCCAGACGAATCTGGTACCAATTTACCGTCCCCGGAGGGTAGAAGGCTTGGTTGGCCTGGGCGGGTGTCGACCTGGGATCAAGGACCGCGCGAGTGGTAAGCGCGCCACTTGTCACTACACCACCTCCGCCTCAGCCTAATTATTAATTTTAAACCACAAACGGAAGCCCGGTCTACTGAGGAGCAGTCCGGAGTTTTATACATAATGTGGGTAACTCAGTGCAAGGACCTCCCTGTTGGCAGCTTGAAGCTCTAGGACCAGAAATCCCGCGGGCAAATTTCACTCTTCAATGCCGCACATTTGTAAAATTTTCAACGCACTCACGAAAAATTTCCGAGCTATTTTGGGCCAAAGCCACCAAGGAAACCACACAAGTGCTTCAGTTTGTTTTTAGTTAATCCTTCCCATCGATCACGAATCCCGCCTACCACACCGCAAAAGAAAGTTGGTGGAAGAAGTTATACCCTTCTCGAGATGGATGGGAGTTCTTTGGAAAGTAGGTGGCCCATGCAGCGCTGCAGTCTACTTGATCGCGACGCATCCGCCAAAACAGGACAAGCAGGATACAGCATCGATGCGTGAAGCAGCATAGGGGGGTCGTACTATCTCTCTGGGGAAGGTGGGGTCGTACTTGGTGGTTATTGGGAGAGGTCGTATGTGTATTGGAAGAGAAATTTGTCGCGTTGGTTTCCCGGTTGTTGACTTTTCGAGGTTTTGGAGGGGTGGGGGTCGTACGTCGTACCGAGACCCACATTTAGGTGGATGGGGGTCTTACTGACGCTCTATTTAGGTGAGGTGGGGTCATACTGACATCCTCCCCTCGAGGGGGAGGGTCGTACCGACACCGCCAATTCACACGTAACGATGTTGTACCCTGAGGACAAGTACTTGGACAGTCAAAAAGGGCGAAGATTGTGTGGGCACCCGTACCTTGAAGCGGTTGGGACATAATGCTTGACCTTGTTTCAGTCATCCGAGTGCTGTCTAGAAGAGCTGCTCAATAATTAAGGGGCTGTAAGAGCTCTATCAACTCACGGGGCTAAGTTCCTATTTCGATGAAATTTGGAAGTTTTGTCCCGTTGTCAACAGAAAGCCTTTCAGGAGTTTGTGCTTCGAACTAAATCATTTGTTGCTGACCTTCAAAATTGAGCTTGAATTTCGAATCTCCGAATTTCCGAGTACTTTCCACCGTCCAAGTGACTATATCGATTTCAATGCTAGCTTATTGGTGGCTTCTTCCTGGCTTCCTGGACTCCATCAATTCCGCTCCAGCAAGATTTGTGGCTGCATTAATAGGCAATTATTCTTTACTCAGTAGATTGACGGCGCCTGGAAGAAATGCATCGAATTCTGCGAAGTGCATGGTTTCGGCCTAGAGAAAGAACGGAACGTTTCTCGTCTCCTTTGCTTTTATTTCTTTTTTCTTTTCGAGGTTGATCGCAATGAGCTTCATGGTTGGATCATTTCAAAAATCTTTCGCACCGTAAAGTAGGCACAATTCGGCTTAGTGTGGGCATTTCGCTGGTTCTTATTGATCATTGCTGTTGCCTTCTATGGAGACCGATACGCTCATGTGAAGCTGGGCAATAGTGCGAACTCCGTTTACGCTTGACAAGAGTCTACAGGTCTCACCAAGGAAAGGCGCATATTTTAACAAGAACTGATAAAAGAAACTAGCAGGGAAACGCCACCCTCCCCCACCACAGGATTGACTTCCGCCTCGTTTCTTTTCCAAATAAGAGAACGCCGTATGTTGAGAATTCCCTAGAGCAAGAGAGGTGTCCTATTTAGCTGCGAGGGGGGAGGGTGGAATTGAGGCGGGGGTGTCATTCGGGTATGTGACAAGAGAATCGTAATTCACTGCTGTCATTGGGCCTGATGAATTTTTTTATTGTTGATTTTTCCCGTTTCATACGTACTATATGTTTGCCTTAGGTGGCGTGCCGCAATTGCGACTTTCTCATCTGACAGTTGATCGAATAAGGGCACATCATCGATGGAGATTCCTCAGTAGAGGAGGAGGTCGTGTTTAGCCTGAGGAAATTCTTTTTAAAGTTGATTTTTTGTTTAACGGACGCCAGAGGGATGGAGCTCGTACTTGCTCGTTATTGGCAGAGGGGTTGGGGGAAATTTTTCTCGGTTGTTTACGTTAGGCCCACCTCACCACCCGCTCGACACCTTCACCGTATCAGAGGGGGGAATAAATATTCCTTCTATGACCCTCCTTTCCCCCGTCTTCCATTCTATCCACCATTTTCTCACATTTACCTCTTTTCCGGAAATGTTTTCTCCAAAAAATCTCCACTTTCTCCTTCAAAAAATGGCCGTCGAACGAAGAAGAAAGGGAGACGGGTGTACATACTACACCTGGAACAGGAGAAATCGAGGAAAACGAGTAAACAGAAACTCCTGAAGATAAATACGGCCTCCTCTCCCTCCAGCAGCAAGTACGTCCCCCCCCTTCCCTTCATCAGTCAACCCTGACCTACGTCTTGCCGTGACACATTGTTGCAAGCACTTTGGAAGCAGGTCATTCAAGAAGCTGAATATGGGCCTAACACCCAGAAACATCTTTTCCTCTATACTTTATCATTTTTCGCAGGCTTCTGAAATTGTTCCTGAATTGAATTTAATCTTCCTTCACTTTCGTGCCGACTACAAAGGTGTTAGTGACGTAGTTGAGCTGGGGTAAGCGCCTTTGCTTCCCTTACGCTTCACGCGTGGCTCAGCCCAGCTGCTTTACTACCGAGAATAATTGTAATCATCATAACCAGTTTCGTTTGCTGTGGATGCTGAGGCGTGTCACCAAGGCTGGGCTTGGCGCGGCGCCAGCCCGTTTTCCTCCATCGGTGTTTACTTGCCAGCCTCCGCAGATGGCGGAGGACGGGTTGGCATCGTTTCAAACCCAGCCTCCCTGACACCCCCAGCATCCGCAGTGGACAAGGCTGTATAGAACACTCCTGGGTTTTTTTTAGGTTGTTGAGGTGGTCCCACGGCTATCAAAACCATGCGTTGTATTATTTATGTGGTTTTCATTCCACTGCTGTCTGCCCTATCTGCCGCCGATTCCTCAACAAGCGTCGAACTTCAGTCCACTGCCGTCAACAACAACATCATCGCTCCCATGCACCTACTGACAAAAGAGGTTTCGCTTCATACTGTACTGTCGAATACTGGCTGCTTTCGCACTTCAGATGAAGCCAAGTCACTCCCATATTCTGCTCGTCTGTGTCCTCTCGACGAAGTGTTTGCTGGACGGTGCAGAACAGCAGAGAAGGGGCGTCACCCGGTCCCGTTCGCCAGCCTCCAATTATTCTAAAAGCAACGAGAACTGAGTTTGGAACTTTGAGAATTGGAGGCCAGGCATCCCCATTTCGCAAAGTATGCGAGACAGCGTTCGCAGTCAGCAACAACTGAGAGCACCGTTTAGAGGGGCAGTTCGGCGACGGGAGGGGGGGGGGGCATTCTGCACAGGTTCTAACATGATGGCTTGATGATCGTACTCCAGCTTCACAGGGGTTCACAGGCTCCGCCAGAGTGAGACTTGTAAAACGGAACTAAGGAAGCAATGATAGTACAAAATGCCCCCCTCCCGTCGCCAAACAGCGCCGCGTAGACTTCGCGATGACGTTTGTCGACACACTACCACTGCAGTGGCGCTTAAATGCTGTTGAAAGGGATGGAGCCGCACACGGGTATTGATCGGCGCCGGCAGCTGGTGTTCTGAAAGAGTGTAAGGATGTGAGGAGGGTACGTGCTGCCTTCTATAGTATGATACCCTCCTATTCTCCTGTACTCTCCCAGAATACTAGCGATGGATACCAGGGTGCGCACCCTCCTATTCTCCCCTCTCCCTCATTGTGGCGACGCTGAGCGATCAACTGCGTTCCCGTCTATAGCATTGGAGCGCTGTTGCAAGGGTAACGCGTCGACGTGCGTCATCGCGAAGTCTGAACACAAGCGTTCCAGCGATTAGCTATCGAGAGCTAGGGATCGACTTGGCATACTGACCTAGATGATGAGCGAACAACAATGATGACAAAGGGCATCGCCTCTAGTCAACGAAGCGCTAACTCGCGCATCTCGCAAGGTGCAGAATCGAGGCGTATATCCTAGTCGCGATTTCGTGAAGTATGGACGCTACTTGAGCTAGTCCTGAAATGCGAAAGCAGCCCAACCTAATTAGCAAAGTGGCTTGGCACGAAATTAACTGGCTCGTTAAGGCACGAAGGGAGCGACGCAAAGAACGCCGTATATTGAGGAAGAAAAAGCAGCGATTGAGAGAATTACGGGAGGAGATCCGGATTCTCACGCTCTCACTGCAGCAATCGAGTAAGTTTGCTCCCTGGCTATTTGGTACTTTCCCTTTTCTACACCTTATGCAAGGTCTAACTGTAGGGTTTTCCAGATTCAACTGCAATATCTGATAAGGCCGAGGTGAAACTGAAGCAGAAGGGGCGTCAGGGTCGAAAAGGCATAAAATGGCGAAAAAGTTTGTTAGAGAAATTGAAAGGTATTGTAAGACGATTGGACAGAATGGAACGGCGACTTGTGGAGGGCAACCAGGTGAGGCATCAGTTGAATTTTCTGAAAGCGGGAGAGCTCTGGACTTCTCTGAGTTATGAGTGGCAAGAGGACACCGCGCGACGTCGCCATGATGTGCGATGTCGCTTGCACTCTTGCTTCCAAATATGAGCAACGTCACTTTCCAGATAGTCTCCTCTGAAATGATACATTCCATGAGTAACACTTCGTCAACATCGAGTACTACGACGACAACGACGTCCACAACCTCTTCCATAAATGGAACACGGTTAATCAGAAGGTGAGGAATAATTGCGCCGATCTTCCACCAGTGTATAACGTTGTTGGAGAACCTCGTGGGGAGGGAGGGGGGTCGCACTTAGCCGCCGCGAATCGGGCCTCACCTCGCTTAGGGAATGTTTTCCCAACGAAAAATTTTTTCCGAATGTTGGCTTTTCGCGATCTCTCCCTGAGCGCTAAGTATCTCCTGCCCATAGCCGTAGAAGTACCCCACTTTCACTATATGAAGGTGGGCGGAAATGAAACTCCTCCTAGTTGGCGACACTGCAGAAATGCTATGCAACTGCTACTTCTGATAATCGATTTTCGTAGTTTTTTTTCTAGTGACAACCTCCTCCGCTCCCGCTCGACGTCAGTCCGTAATGGGAAAAACTGGAAATATTCTTGGCAAACTGGTAGGGAGAATTATGAAAGATTGTTGGGTGAGATAGGGGCAGAGAGAGTTATGCTGGAGGACAATATTCAGGAAGGGTTTTTACTGACACTATCATTTCACCCATCCCTATGCTGTACCCTGTCTCCCGATAGCCTTATGGTAAGGTGTAGTTCAGGAAGTGAGGCTTGGCATCGGGCTCACAGGGTACAGCACCGTGGATGATGTTGATGTGTTTAATAGTGATGTCAGTATGACCCCACCCACTCCCGAAGGAGGGTCTCGGTACGACCCAACACCTACCTACCACTTTACTACAAGTTCTCAGCTCCCTGCCAATTTTTTTTCCGATATCTCCCGAAAATTTGCCTTTTTCTCCCCAAAAATTTTCCGTCGAGGGTGGGGGGGAGTACATAGCAAATGTGAAACGGGAAAAAACCGTGAAAAGTCAACAACCGGGAAAAAATATTTCCCAACGCGGCAATTCTCTAAAAGGGACATACGACCCCCTCTCCCAACAACGACCAAATAAAATATCCCCCGTCCCAGCGGCCAAGTACGACTCCCCTTGTGTTTCACACAACGATGCTGTACCCTGCGCGCGCAGCCTGCACTTCTAGCTGGTTGACTCTGCATAGCGCGAGTTAAGTAGCACATGGAAGCCTTTACCGCCCAATTCATATCCTTATATCGAAAAATCCCACGGCGGATGATTGTTTTCTTCTTTGCCAGCTGAAGCCAGAATGCCATTCAAAATAAAAAGAAGGTAAATGAATGTAGTGTAACAACATGTTTCAAATGAAAGTGATTCGTTTCGCCTCTACTCAGACGAATCACTTTGCTTGTCAACCCCTGAGGCCCAA